TCGCTATACTCAACGCTGAATTGCAGGCTATGAAAGCTAATAAGGTAAGTTTTTTATATTTACTTTAAGAATTTGTAGTTGGAATTAAATTTCTTTAAATAGAAAGTTTCGATCAAGTCTATGATGTTTAGGAGTATCATCTAATCAAATTTGGATAACAATTTTCCAGGTAAAAATAATCAAACAAATGCGAGAAGAAAGCGAAAAGTTCCGCAAATGGAAGGCTGACAATGAACGAACTATGCTGCGCCTGCGCAATGAAGACAGGAAGCGCGCGAACGCGATGGCCAAGATGGAGTCTCTGCACGTGAAGCAGCGCAACGTGCTCAAGCGCAAGATGGAGGAGGCCGTCGCTGTCAACAAGCGTCTCAAGGTAACATATTGCCACAACTAGCTACTGTGTTTGCGCAATGAGAACAAGTGTAAATCAAACAGTAATTTTTTTCTTAAAATTTACCATATTTGGCAGACATTAGTACCTTCTTAGTCTGTATAAATTGTTTTTATTATCAGGAAGCTCTGGACAGACAGAAGCAGTCAAATATGAAACGCAATGCTAAAGGCGTTGTCAAAACTGGTGCCATTCAGCAGTACATCGAGCAGGAACTCGAAGTACATCTCAGTATTGTGGAGGCTGAGAAATCTCTAAATGAGCTAATGGAATACAGGTAACAAATATTTTTTTACTTTTCACTTATATAATTTTGATATGGCCACCCACAGTATAGTATTGCCAGTAGTAAAATTACAAAAAATTCATTAATTTTAGCTTAAATGTATTCTAAAGTTTTTGGTGACAATGTTACATTTTCAGAGCGTGGGTGACAGAACAGATAGCAATTCTCAAGAACAGTCCTGATGACGAGGCCAACAGGGAGAAGTTGGCTGAGCTGGAAAATGACCTCGCGCTGCGCAAGGCACAGATATCCGATCTGCAGCAGAAGATGTTAATAGCCGACCAAGGTAAGGAGATTTTACATTTTACTAATGTTATGCGAATGTTTAGATAGATGGATGGATATTTGTTAGAAGGTATCTCCAGAACAGCACATCAAATTTGGTACGGATGTAAAATATAGTCTGAAAGTACACATAAGCATTTTTTATTAAGTTAAGCACAAGTTATTAAGTTTTTTTTATTCCGGAGTTATAGACGGAGTCGCGGGCGACATGCATGCGTTGGTTCACTTTTGAGAATAAATGTGTACTTACCTAATTTATTAAATTATATTTCAGAGAACAAGACTCGCACTCAATGGGACAATATACAGACAATGATCGAAGCTAAGGCGGCGCTGAAATGTCTATTCGAGTTGTTAGTGGATACAAAGAAAGAGCTACAGAACAAGAGTGAGAAGGGCTACCAGTCCAGATACGAGGAGGTGAAGGAGAAGTATGACAGACTAGTTGTGGAGTTTGAGAGCCGGAAGACTGAACTTGAAGCACAATTAGTTAAGGTGAAACAGCAATGTGAAGAAAAGGTAAGCAAAGCTCTCTATCTCTGGTGCTGTCATTGTAAGCAACATTTTTTTGTTTAATTTTGCATGTATTTTTCCAGGTAAGCTTTTTGCTGGCGTTACAACGCGGTGTGACTGTGAGAGGTGAGAAGAATGAGGCGTGCAAGCAGCTGCAGGCTGTCATACAGTACCAGCAGGACCGTCTCGAGCAACTTGAGATTGAAAATGTATGTAATGAACTGTCTGTGACTGTGGTATTTTAAAAGAACGGCAATTAATAATGGGTTACTATTCACAGAAAAAGTTATCTGATGAGCTGGAGGAGCTGCAATCGTTCTATGCAAACGCAAAGAGGCAGAAGAAACAACATGTCTACCCCGTCACTGACGAGGAGGACGTAGACTCTGAAAAAGATCCCGACTGGGTCGCCACTCCCTTGTTCAAACGGATACAGGTAAGTGAAAATTTTGTATAGTATAAGAAAATCCTTCAAAGATATCAGAAATATTTCAATCTAATAACAGGCTCAACGCTCTCGTCTTAAAATGAATTGGTCGGTGAACGACGCGGACACAGCGCGCGCCACGAAACGTAACTACGAGGGCGTCCCGCACTGCACCTGCCGCGGCTCCTGCTCCACCAAGATCTGCGGCTGCGTGAAGACCGGCGTCGGCTGCGGCGTCGCCTGCCGCTGCCAGCACGCGCTCTGCAAGAACCGCAACAACGTACCGCAACACGACGACAAGGAGAATCATGTAAGTAAATCTTCTCCAGTTAAAGCCAATCGCTTCGCTAGTTCCGCGAATACATGTGGCCGCTCGCTCGTTTGTTACCTTATAATATTAAAAAAATGGTCAGGAATGAGATATTTTTACATTTCTTCCATTTCCAGCAGTCCAGTCCTGAAAACAATGACATGAATGTCACCCCGCCATCTTACTTCGATGACCGGTGAGTAGAATTCTTAGCAAGCATTGTGAAGCCGAAGAAAAATGAAAACTCGCATTCTCTATCTTTTCTTTAAGATTAATAACTCTGTACTATTCTTTTAGTAATTTACTTTTAAATTCATGTAATGTTCGTTTTCAGAGATAACCTTGAAGCAACATATATCAAGAAAAAGAAGTGTTTTTTCTTCCCTGACGAACAAGCAAACGAAACTAATAAAGGTGACTAGGTATTGCAGCATTTATATAGATGTGTGTAAAAGGTTCGAAAAAGTTATCAAAAAATTACATAATTTGTTTAATCCATCCACGTATGTATTTATGTAAACGCTAATTAATTTTGATAATTTTCTTTTTCAGACTGACAAAGGAGACTAATCTAACAATTAATTTATTCTTTAATTATAATTAATTTAAGCAATAATAATAATCTTCATGTAAAAATGTAATTGAGGTTTTATTTTGATTTCACTTTGACTTCAGTGTAGTGTTAATTCAATATACATAAAGTTCGGAATATTGAATGTTTTATGGAATTATTATTGTAAATAAAATTATAATCGCTATTCTATTGTTAAAAAATCATTTTAAAATTGACTATTTCTCTTAATTTCACTACAAACATATTTTTGTTTGTAATTCACCACCGAATTGACTTTGGGTAATAAAAACGCTATTTATCTTGTTTTATGTTTTATTTACCTTACCTATATGGTCGTAGGTTGTGGTAAAAAAAATAACGAACATATAATAAAAAATTTATTCACAGTTTCACTTGACAATTTCATAAAATAAGTCCACATCATAAATTATGTTGCATCTTTATATACGTAATTAATATTTTACGTTAAACATATGGTACGGAATAAATTTTATCATCTATATATTTCTACGATTAATTTATTAGGATTAAAATATTTATAAGTTACTTAAGACTAGATAAGCTCATAGTCAGAAAACGAAATATAAACTTATAAATCAACATCTTGAAGTAATTTAACGGCATCATTCAGTCTGGAAAAATAACATCACTAAAAATTATGTTCCAAATCAAGCTTTGAACATTATCAACACAGTATTATAAATTGTAAAAATCAAGTGGCTATTTCATAGCTATTATAAAGGTTCTGAAAACATGTTTTCTTCATGAATTAGCTTTTGATTACGAAAACTTACCTTTATTTATAAGTCATTTGATTGTTCATCAGGAAAGAAAAAACATTTCTTTTTCTTGACATACGTGGCATCGAAGTTATCTCTGGAGAAAGAAAATTAATAAAAAAATGACGATTATTCCTATTATAAGGTAATACGGTTTACTACAGTGAAAACTAACTACACTAAAATACTATTTTCACTTGTCTAGTACGCTAATTAACATTTTATGTGATTTGGCACTGCTCAAACATTCACTAATAATAATATTTTCTCTTTCTTCCTTTATCAAAATTATGTTTTATGTGAATCATAAGACAGTGAATACACATGGTTACAAATATAATGTCATGCAGATGTCCAGGGAATGCGACGGATTACACATGGTACTGACCCATAAAGAAATGTTTATGGGTATAGAAACGCCTCAGCAAAGTTCACAAGCATCGGGCATAGTTCTGCAGACCAGATCTTGCCACAAACTAAATAAGTTCAATTATAATTTGTAATACATCTACGATACGTATGAATTACACAATGGATGTGATAAGAAATGCTTTGCAGAACTATGCACTTACAGCACGAACTTGTTCTAAAATGTCTTTTGAAAGATATGCCAAGCGCCCGATAGTTTTTTACATATTGTGCCAGTGTCGTTATTCCTTAAATTAGAAAATTGAATAATTTAATATTTATTATTTATATCTGCACCACACCACTTTGGCTTGAAAATACCATATTCTACAAATGCTCGTTTAAAACTCGAGGCAGTAAGGGCATAGTTCGGCAATCGCAAGGATAAAGTTACATTTAACCTGCCAAATCAATAGTTTCAAAATGTTGCCGACGACATTATAATTAGCCAAATCCAATCCATATTGTACTATATTATCGGCGCAGTATGTCGACACGGGGGTCACACAGGCCTGATAAAGTAGCAATGCAAGCATCCATCGCTGTTTTTGTTTGACGCTCTTCATTCTCGGCTCAGATAAAAGTGGTAATAGACCATTCCGACGTCCACTTTGAAGTGGACTTTTATCGTTCGTTATATTTTGCTTTTGTGTAATCTCGCTCAATTCCTGTGACGATTCAAATCTAAACACGTTCAAAGCCTTAGAGCTATAGCGGTAGGAAGTTAGTCAACATACAATAATGTAACCAAACTCACCTTTTATCAAAGAATGATGGAAACGTTGTGTCCTGCGCACTTTCAGAACTTGATGGCTGTAAAAATAATGTACTCTTTATATTTCTTAAAACATAACTCAATCTTACTAATATTATAAATGAGAATGTTTAGATGGATGGATATTTGTTTAAAGATATCTCCATAACGACTGAACGGATCTCGCTTAAATTTGGCATATATGTACTGCATAATCTGGAAGAACACACAAACTACTAAGGTTTTTCTTAATTCCGCGCGGACGGAGTCGCGGGGGACAGCTAGTATTATACTGTCATAAAAATTTAGTCACGTGTTTTTTTTAAATACACTGGAGAGAATATGAAAGCTTCGAAAGGTTACTTGATTCTCCTTGTCGTCGTGTTGCGGTGCGTTGTTGCGGTTCTTGCAGAGCGCGTGCTGGCAGCGGCAGGCGACGCCGCAGCCGACGCCGGTCTTCACGCAGCCGCAGATCTTGGTGGAGCAGGAGCCGCGGCAGGTGCAGTGCGGGACACCCTCGTTGCTGCGTTTCGTCGCTCGCGTTGTGTCTCCGTCATTGGCGGTTAAGTTCATCTTTAGACGTGTACGTTGGGCCTGTCACAAAACATAATAATGAGAATAACATGCTTAAAGCCAGGGGATTTAACGAATTAAATCGCTCGACTCGTAAAATAGGTCATATAAATTATACTAACTTGTATACGTTTAAACAAAGGCGTGGCTCTCCAGTCCGGGTCCTTCTCCGAGTCCTCGTCGTCGTCTTCCTCGTCAGTAACAGGGATAGGGGTATGTTCTATCCTCTTCTGTTCTGTGCTGGTCTTGTTCTGCTTCCTACCCCTTCTACTATTAGATTGATATTCTTCTAGTTCATCTGCTAACTTTTTCTGAAAATTAAACAGTTTCTAAACACGATAATAGTTAAAAGTATACAATTTAAAAGACATTAATTCTACAGTTACATGACGAGCGTATGAACACCGAGGTGATCAACGACATCCATGGACATTCGTAACATGAGAGGAACTGCAGATGCGTTGCCGACGGAGTTCCTCAACAAGGTGAAGGATATGCTTTTATCAGCCTTCATGAGAAAAATGTGTCTTTTATTATAATCTAAGGTATGTAAGTACAAACATATCAGCAGCCATGTTAAGGCGCGCTGTAACACGAAAAAATACACTAACATTACGTACGTTTTCAATCTCAAGTTGCTCGAGACGGTCCTGCTGGTACTGTATGACAGCCTGCAGCTGCTTGCACGCCTCGTTCTTCTCACCTCTCACAGTCACACCGCGTTGTAACGCCAGCAAAACCCGCAACTGAAATTTCCAGTATTGTATTGGATTATTCAAGTTAAGCTCCATTATTCAAGTCACATTTACTTAGTTTACTGAAATGTTAATTAATTTATTCCGTTCAAAAATTACATAAATATAGTTTGAAAACTAACCTTTTCCTCGCTCTGTTGTTTCACCTTTGCCAATTCCCATTCAAATTCAGTCTTACTGTTTTCAAATTCCACCGCCAGTCTATCGTAGGCCTCCTTCACCTCCTCGTACCTGGACTGGTAGCCCTTCTCACTCTGGCTCTGTAGATCTCTCTTTGTATCCACCAACAACTCGAACAGACATTTGAGCGCGACTTTAGCTTCCAGCATTGATTGTATGTTGTCCCATTGAGTTCGTGCTTTGTTCTCTGTGAAGTGATATTATTAAATATATAATATTTCACTTAACCATTGGTTTATCCTCTCAATATCATGAAAAAACGAAGATAACATCTTTTATACAGGTATTAGTGAAGGAAAACGGATTTTTTTTTATTATGGTTAGCAAACATTTAACTCATAAAAGTAATTAGGTAAATTTATATTTTATTAATGGAAACAGAGGCCTTAGGACGTAAATTCTAACAACTTAGGTACATAAGACGATATTTACAAAGACAACTGACTTCTAATATACATGATTATTCCACAGAGAATTCTAATAGATTGATTTAATGAGTTTCATCGCCATACCTTGATCTACAGTTACTATCTTCTGCTGCAGGTCAGATATCTGTGCTTTACGCAGCACCAGGTCGTTTTCCAGCTCAGCCATCTTCTTCCTATTAGCCTCGTCGTCTGTGCAGTTGCGAAGATTCTCTATTTGTTCCGTTATCCATGCTCTGGAAGATTACAAACACATGTGAAGTCCAAATGTATATGACAATGTCTCTAAGTAACAATTAATCAACTCTCATTAGGTGTCTTGTATCAAAAACAACCATTAAGGTTAACATTGTGCCAGTAAAGTAGAACACTAGCAGTAGCGCTGGCTTGGCACGGACTTACTGGGTTCACTGGAACCATTGTAATTACTTATGCCAGTTATATGCCAGTGCTGATTTTTAGCGCTACTGTAATTATGTAAATCAGACATAAAGCTACATAAAGGAATCTATCTCATTATTACTAAAAATTACGATCACCAGTTTGTACTACAATTTATGACATAATGATTTTACTAAACTAAGTAAAAATACCTGTACTCCATAAGTTCTTCTAGCGACTTCTCAGCCTCCACAATACTGAGATGTACTTCGAGTTCCTGCTCGATGTACTGCTGAATGGCACCAGTTTTGACAACGCCTTTAGCATTGCGTTTCAATTGTGATTGCTTCTGTCTGTCCAGAGCTTCCTGGTAGACAATTAACTCAGATTAGAATAAAAGTCCAATTACCCTTAGAGAAAGAAAGTTGTGAAAAAAAAAATAGTATACACTAAATAATTCACGACTATGTAGTCCGGTATTTGTACAAGTTCCAGACTCATTCAGGGTTCTTTCTAAGTGGTAATTACAGCACCAAAATGTCTTACGAAATTTTTGAGAAATTAATATGGTTTTACACTTATTTTCATTGCGCAGACGCAGTAGCTAGTTGTGGCAATATGTTACCTTGAGACGCTTGTTGACAGCGACGGCCTCCTCCATCTTGCGCTTGAGCACGTTGCGCTGCTTCGCGTGCAGAGACTCCATCTTGGCCATCGCGTTCGCGCGCTTTTTATCCTCATTGCGCAGGCGCAGCATTGCACGTTCGTTGTCAGCCTTCCATTTACGGAATTTCTCACTTTCTTCGCGCATTTGTCTGATGATTTTGACCTGTAATGATTACACACATATAAAGAGATTAATTCAGAATAAAACAGTAGTTAAACAACTATGAGAGTAATTAAAATATTTTACCTTATTAGCTTTCATAGCGTGTAACTCTGCATTGAGTGTGGCGATTTTGGCTTCGTTCTTTTCTTTAGTCTTGATGATGTTGCCAAGTTGTTGGCATTTCTTTTTCAAGTCAGTTATCTCCATCTCCAAGGCGGATACCTTCGTGCGGCGTTCCTCGTGCGACGGGTCTTTACTCTGTACAGTATACCACATTTAGTAGTGAATAAAGAAAAAATTCGAAACAATCAGATATTTCTGCAAATTAATTTATAAGGAAAACAGCTTAGTAATTAATATAATTTATTGCGCACTTCTTTATTGTATCTTTTAGGTATTCAGGATATAAAATTAGTATTACCTTAGTTTGTTTCAGCTGCTGCATAAGCTCATCTCTCTCCTTCTCCAAATGGGCAATCTTTTCCTCATTCTCTTTTAGATTATTGTGGCTCTCTATAATATCTTTATTACTAGCCAGTATCGCCTGCACTACTGAAGCTTTGATAGCCATTGCACTGTTTAATTCTTGCAATTCTTGATTTAATGCAACCTAAAAAGACAATATAAATATTTGTAGTGACATTTCAAAACTAATCCATATCTCAATGTTAATTAGGTACTTTTCTTTTACCTGACCCATTGCTCGTTTCTGCTCCTCCATGACAGCTTGATCTTCATTAAGAGGGATTCCATCATCAACTTTCTCACTGTCATTCTCCTCTTTGATATACGATAGTTTGATTTCATGATCAATTAATTCTTCATTTGTCTTCATGTTAACAGATTGCAAATCTTCTAATCTACTCTTTATGTCCTTCAGATATTCAACAACACTGTTCTTACAATCTTCATCGGGAACATTGTCAGTTGTACTCAAATTATCTATAGTTTGATTACACTGTTCCGTCAATTCATTCAGCTTTCTTTCAATCTTATCCTTTGCAGCTTCAGCTAGTAATGCCTTCTCACATAAATTTGTGTTTTCTATTAATATATTGGTTAGGTGTTCCGTCATTTGTTTGTGTTTCTTTAAGAGATCAGCATATTTTGCTTTCTCCATTTCTAACTCCTCCTTTAATTGCTCATTACTATTTTCACTGACTGTAGGTAATTTTCCTACTAATTGAAGTCTCAGTTCATTCACCAAGTTGTTTAATCTGTAATTAAAATGAGTTGTAACACACAGACTAGGGCAAGATGAGTATGATGAGTGTATGTATGCATGACCTGATGATCTCAGCAGCCTTGGCGTCCTGGTTGATGACTGGCTTGTTGCGGATGCGACGTGCGCGGTCTGCGTAGCGCAGCGTCGACACAGTCTCGTCCAGGTTGTAGTCTGCGGGGCTCACGCACGCCACCATCATCGTCAGCGAGTTGCCACCCAGGCTGTCTGCACAATGTACATACAATGTCATACAACAACACACAGCTATCACACAATGTCACACTGACACACACTGCACATACCTTGCAGCAACCTCGTCAGCTTGCTGTCTCTGTAGCTGATGAAGCTTCTGTTTGTGCCATCACCCAGCGCAGATATCACATTCCCTAGTGCTAAGAGACCTTGATTTATTTTTACGCCTTCTCTGAGTCTCTCACCGCTTGCCTTTGTCTTTTTAATTCTCTCTGATCCAGCTAAATCTACAAAGTGGAACTTTGATGTGGTAGCAAGATTTCTGAAGGAAGAATAAAAAAATTTAAACAATTTTAGATAAAAGTTTTAAAATTAACATTAAAATTCCATCAAAAAATGTTTTTAATCTACTCACTTGTCAGTTTTACTTTCTTTAGCAACCACTATGGTAAATACAGCATGACTTCTACTGGATGCTTGGTTCATAGCAGTGGATCCGGTCACTCTGCCAATTGAGCCTTTCTCCAGGACCATCATTGTCTCCGCTGTGGATGTTACTGGTAACTCTGTGATACCTATGGAATAACTTGAAATTTGATTAGACTTACCTTGCCATACCTAGGGCCTAACTTTTTTATTAACCAGTACTTAGTAACTAATTTACAACAAATAGCTGACCTTAGGAAGAACAAACTCATCATTACCTGGCAAGTGTACACCTTTATTGATATCCTCTCTGATGTCTATGACACTATGTCCTCTCTCCTTGCCGGAGAGTAGGTCATAGCACTGCTCCTGATATAGCTCCATGAATGAAACTGTCACTTTGAAAGTAAACTTGTTCTCATTCACATCTATGAAGTCAAATATATCAGCAACTGCTTGTGGTATAACACCTAAAATTCAAAATTAAATGATTGCATATATTTAGAAAAGACTAAGAAAACCCATACAATTCTACATGTCAGATAAATTATTGCATAGTATGCAGCTTAAGCACTTTTAACTTTATTTATGTTTTATGAGTAACAATGAAAAAAAAAATCGTAAAAAATATTTGATAAATTTACTTAGGACTTAATTATAGAATTTGATAGCATATTAAAGTCAATAAAGATTATGTACCTAAATTTGTTGAATCTCCTTCGGAACCTGAATAATTAGTACCCATTGTGTATGTTTTCCCTGAGCCAGTTTGTCCATAAGCAAGTATTGTAACATTGTATCCTATAAACATAATAATACATTTAATAAAGTTAAATATATCTGTTTAGCATTAAATAAGTCCATATTTAAATTTTCTTACCTTGAAATAATTTTCTAATAAGACCCTTTACTGCTGTATCATAAAACTCCTGTTGTGTGATGTGTTGTGGAAATACATAATTGTATGTAAATGCGAGGTCCTTTATCTGTACTTGTGGTTCTCCAGCAACAACGTCAATACATTCATCGCAACCTCTTTCTATCTCCTGCTGCATAAGTGGCCTAATCCTTAGGGCCACCTGAACCGTATCAATGGTATCTCTATGGCTCTCACCATTCTCCATCGTTTATTTTGTGTTTTTTCCTGTATTGAGCTATAAGTTCCTGGGTGTTCATACACCTTTTCTTCTTTTTTTTTTGCTTTCCGTCTACCGGTTTACATGCTTTATATTGAAAATATTTCACTTTCCTGCTATTAGAACACGTAATGTTGTGAAATTTCCACACTGATTGCCAAAGTGATATGAAAAAGAAACAAACGAAGTACAACAAAAACAATATACGAAATAAAGCAAAGATCAATAACTGAAAACAAGAAATAAGTTTTAAAAATTTAACGGATCAGTTTAACAAGGACACTTTTGAAAAATTATTGAACGTTATCGAGTTGTGTTGCCATTATTTAATTTCTCTATGGAAAACCTACAAAAAGGAAATTATTAGATCATGATGTCTATGATGTTTTTTTTTTACTATATCATTCGTAGCCAGAATTTTTATTAGCAATAATTATCATTATAATAACTAAGATATTAATTTAAGAAGAATTATAAATAATAATATGTACTAGGTTGAAAATACCTAGGTGTCTTGAAAATTCAAAATGTTTGTTTGCTTTAGTTGTTTTGGAATTTTTCATCAAAGTTGACCGGTTCCGTCGATTGTTGAACGATGGAGGAATCTCCATTGATTTTGTAAAGTCAAAACAGAAGTCTATACTGAAATATCTATCATACCGTTTAAAAGTTTGTTGTTTTTCGAACAATACCGTAATAGGGCTGCCACCTCTTCGGGTTTGACCCAAATTCTTTGGATTTGTATGGTACTACATGTTTGCTATTAATGTGTTTGGCTCAAAAAGGGTGGTGTACTATCATCAAACAAGTCACTGGATTATTTTGTCGTTCGCTAAGGATCAAATTCCAACGTCTTTATCTCACTGGACAGTGTTTTCTTTTACATCGTTCGCCAAGGAGATAAGTGTTTTTGATAAGTCACTGGTCGTGGAAGTTGACAGCCCTAAGGGTAATGCCGATTTAAGCATGACACCATACTAAGTAAATAATTATAATTAGCATCACAATTTCATTCAATTAAAATTGCAGCAATGGTCGTTTAAATCTTGAGTAATATAGAATGCATGTCATGAAGGGGCAACAATATCTTTGCGCTGTTACGGACTAATAGTGATTGCGCTTCAGGGTGCGTTTTTGGGCAACTAATGAAATAAAACATCGTCTCTACCATTTGGCGGCTATCCCCATGAGGATTGCGGGTATTCCGTCTCACCTCTGAAATAAGTTTATAACATATTTTTTATGACATAACAGTCAAGAACGGGTCTAAACATTAGGTACTAAGATTTTGTGTTTTTTAAACTTGTTAAGCACTTAACATTGCTATGGACCATAGAGATATGTATAACATATCATTGTATTGGTGAATACCGGCTTATTCTTGTTTTATAACACTATAGGTACTAAACCCCAATTTGAGAATTGTTTACGGTAATATGGAAATTGGGACGAAGGCGCGGACGCGCGAACCCAACCTTGAATAATAAGTTGTTGACTGCAAGTCTCCAGGCACTTGGGATGGTTTTGTTTTAAATATCGAGTATGATACGTTTGGTTGAAATAAAGTTCCAAGTAGTGTCTTCTAGGAATGCGGTGGATCCTTGTTTTTCATGACGTCATACTGGAATTTACAAGGGTCGTGGTATTGATAAGTATTCGTTAATGCAACAATTTGATCATGCGACCTCAGCTCCCGGAGTTTGCCGAACCTTGGCCGACATCGTCCAGACGCGACGCACGTCATGCAAATGTTATATGAGCTGAAAGAAAGCCTTTGATTGAATCCCCTACTACTGGCTCTTGCAACACAATTAAATTGTTTCATTTTTAATTAATTTACAAGTTAGTACATGTTTTTTTATGATTGGAATCAAGCATACCGCAAAATCAAGACAAACTTTTATTATAAATATAAAAGTATTAATTCATTTGCAAACATTAGTTGCTGTTACAAGCAATCGAATCGTAAAATAATTCGTCCAACACCTGATCTCTGAAGATTTAAAATAAATTGAATATTCTGTTGTCTGTCCTGTGAAACTGAGAAAGTGTTCTACAAAATCCTACGATCTATTAAGATTATCATACATGTACAACCGTACGGTTCATTATAGGAAATTAAAGTCGGTTTGTTCCTAAAACTTATGACCTACTTATTACTTTCCAAACTACTGTTTTATGCGTCTCAATCAGACGCCATATTTGTTACGATACGTCATACGTATTTAACTCTTTAAATTATTTAACACTCTCGATATTGACTTGTGTTTAACAGTTGAACGAGTTTGAATCGTAAATGTTTAGTAACGCTACGTTTCGCCACGAGCGAAGAAAGGCTCGGAAGCGCGCTTTCGATGTTTACGGGGAGAAATCTCGGACCGGTTGCGGCTTCGCCGAGCTAGTCAGTGTTGTTCGGTGCGTCGGACTTACGTTACGTGTGTTCTTTTCATTTAACAATTCTACCGAATACGTGTTAATGTTAAAAAAAAATCGTACACATCAACCGACTGATTTGTGTTTTAAGCTTGTTTTAATCTGTGCCAAAAACTGTTGACAGTTGCATTTTGAATTTGACTTTTCTGTTAGAAAGTGCGTTCGGAGTGTTTTTCTGCCAGCTACCGGTATGTTTTTAAGTGTTATAAGATTTTCATTTCGTTCGTTCAAGATGTTTAAAGTCCAATGCATCGTGTCATCTTCATTCAACTACGTTGTAGAAAGGTTTCTCTCGGTTTGCATTTCACCTAGTTTCCTGCGTTGATGTCTGTAATATTGTAGAGTTAGCTCACTGGCATCTGTTTTGGGGCCAATTTCACTTGTGCTCGATATCGATGATAATTAAAAAGTTTATTACAACAAGTCCTTTTGTTTTATACAACTACTTATATTGGGGATCTTAAATTATAAGTTTTAAAAAGTGTTTTTTTTATTACCTCTAGTGTTGCGGATATCCATTGACGTCGATAATGTGCCCCCATCTCTTAAAAAAATTATAATTTCAAGAGTAATTCTTTTATGTTCATTTATATGCCATGTGCTGGACTGAGTTTGTTTATTTTTGCCCAATAATTAACTGTGATATATATTATTCCGCTTCTTTGTACAAAACAGATTCGTAATAGGGTTTTTACTTAGCATCGCTTAAAAAGTTACATCATAAAGTTGATAATAGTCCCGTACAATATCTGCTCTTATTTATTATTCAAAGCGACATAACTGTTGAGTTCTTTACTTAAAAGAAAGGGCTTATCAATAACTTAACAGTCTTGGAGATCGAATCATATGAATAATATTTCATGTCCACATTTATTCTTTTGACCAAAAGTTTTATTGATTGTGAAAGCAAATAGCTTTTGATTTTCTTTTTTTTGATTAGAATTATAATATACTTAGACTTTTCCATTAAATTATCTTTTATTTAATATTACTGAATTATCATTCCTGTGAAAAAAAACTCAAAATTTGAGTAAGTTTTGACTTATTGTCGAAAACTTTGGATCGGAAGATTTTAAACGAGATGGACAACAAAAGTGGCCCGATCGCTCTTTGAACTATAGATAATATCTTAAAGGTCATTTATGATAATTCTTTGTAAATTGAATTTAGTGGATTCGAAAAGGATCGAGATTGATTTGGATTCGCGCGTTAGTCTATGGTAGATAATGAATTATTACCATAGAAAAACATCTTATTCACAGTAAAATACCCTAAAAAAAACTATATATCTAATGCCTTGTTTACATTATGCCAAAACAATAGCATGCATGTACTATTTAGGCTCACAGCCACCAGTTAGTGTTTACACTATGCCAGTTGCAATGCGGCATCATTTTGAGCGCTACTGTCCTACTGTACTGGCATGTAAACTAATATTTTTATGTAGTATACGCACTTATTATGTTGTCTTCATAAATCTTATTTGCGTCATGCTAACACGATCGTGCTATGTTATAAAAAAATCTTTATTTTACGCAGTGTTATGGGAAAAAGAAACACCAATCGTCTGGATATTCCAACTCACGTTCAATCATTTACATAACACTACTGTTTACGCTCCAAAAAAAACTGTTATACACCCGACCGGTCTGAGATCGGATTGTTTTACGTACTTTACGTGTCGTGCGTGAAATATAAATAAAGTTAAACGAACTCATTGGATGAAGTATAGTTTACATTTTTAACAGATCATTTTTACAGATATTTGTCTATCTGTGGGTTTCAATTGCGTTGATTTAGTCTATGCACTTTTGAAAGAGAACTGGCAATATGACAATAAAGTAACAAAACTGCAGTCGAAATCTACAGTAATTAAAATTATTCCCATGTAAAATTATAACACCAAGAAGAAGTCAAATGGCACAAATAAAATTCCTTTTAAATTTCCTCCAAATAGTCGTTGTTTCTCACGGGCAAATATAACTATGCAGTAAGGTCCTTAATCTAATTTTAATATTTATTTGTACACTATCGTTGTTTTCTAACGCTAATAACTAAAATCATATTCAAGTTGAAGAGAGACATTTTTTCTCAGTTTCTTGAGATTATTGTCGATTTTTTTTTAGATAATTCAGGTTCTTCAGTAAAAGAATTCAAGCAAGTTCGTTATAACAAAGTAGCATGAAAATTTTGATAAAATCTACACCAAGGGACCTTAACGTTACGGTGAAGTAAGTTGGGTGCATTGTCCGCTTAGCAGCCAGTACAACACAATGTCGATAAGTTATGTAAGTTACAGTAAGTAAGCTACTGTGTAAGAACTTTGGTGCTGTTGCACATGCAGTATTGTTTGTGAAGAATAATGTTATTATTAAATAATTTACTGACGATGGATAGTGATAACAATTATAGACTAGCTGTTGCCCGCGACTCCTTCACGCGGAATTCAATAAAAAATATTTAGTAGCTTATGTTTTCTTACAGACTATATTCTACATCAATGCCAAATTTCAGCGAGATATATGCAGCTGTTCTAACAAAAATCCATCCATAAAAACATACGCATTTATAATATTAGTGAGATTTAGAATTTTGTACGAGTTTTTTTCTTTAATGTCTGTCTCTTAGCCGATATTTCTTCAAATATTTGCCGAGTTATTCAGACATGTTAATCTCGCAAATTTTGTTTTGTACCCACACAGTTTGCTTTTCAAACTGTATGAACTAAAACTTTTAGCTCGTCTTTTCGTCTTAAGTCGACATTTTAAAACATAAAGGTGAAGGTCATTATGCAAATGGAGTCAAAACTTTTTTTACAGTTTAAAAACTTCAAGGTAAACAATGTATTTTGAGTTATAAAATGAATTAATTGTGTGAACACTGCATTTCTTTAGCGACTGAAATGTAAAAAATATTTTGTACAGTTTTAAAAGAGATTTTATGAAACAGAAAGCGTGTGAACTAGAAAACGAGATATGATTTTTAACTTTTTTTAACTTTCTAGATGCAAATGTGACGCTGACAGTCGCTGCTTGATATCGGTTATTAAATTTAAAAGAAATTAAATTTCATATTGTAAAACATTAACATATTATAAGAAAAAAATAAATAAATTAAATATCATTCAATCGATATAAATATGTCCATTAAAAAGTAAAGAGAAGATATCTTGTGGTACACAAATACATAAACTTGGTTACAAAAGTGGATTTTTTTTATTCTGTGGCCTCAACCACCCTGAGGAGACATGTATCCCGTAGGAACGGCCGGTAAACGAAATCCGGTCCAATGGCAAAATCAATTTTCATTGGTTTTATTCCGATTGACCGATTGGCCCAATGAGAAACAAACATTGCAAAATAAAAACATATAAGATTCTTATTCTTTATGAAAAACCAAAGACACTATTAATTTTTAAGGCAGTGGAATGTCATGGTGTAAAATTACCTTACGACTTGTTTTCAACTGTCACATATTGTCGTCTTTAATTTTTCAAAGAGAATAAGAGGGATGGCGATATATCAATACAAGTGTCACGACAATCCAAACCGATAGTTATCATGTATGCATTCTATCAGTAAACTGGACACGTGCGTTTTCAATAGCCGTTCACAGTTCGAGCCGTCAACGGGTCGCGAATTTATATGCTAATGGTGTACGCCATGAGCCGAGACTTGCCTAAATAGGGACCCCAGTCGATCCCACGATGTCCATATTCAGACTTCGGTCAAAATCGTGAGCTTTGTATCTTTCTATAGCAAAAGTTGATTTTTTAACATTTTCTACAAATCTTTAAAACAAATTCTACTACTTAGCAATACATACAACTAAAGAAAAGAAGATTATCCGGGAACAGGAAAGTGTGGAAGAATCTAGAGAGGCATATGTCGAAGGACAACCTAACAAACCAACTAGAAGCTGAAAATGTAGTTATTTTTTTTTTAATAATTATTTTGTTTTATGTGAAAAAAGGTTTGTATACATTGGAATGGCATTTTAAGAATGTAACTTTAAATTAGATTTTTTTTACGAACTTTATTTCGGGGAATAAGTTTATAAAAACATGATTGATTACATACACATCGGGTTGGTAACATTCAAAAATTCAAGTAAAAACAACTCATCAGTATTCACTTATTAAAACAGTACGCAACAATTTAAATGCCGCCTTTGGTTTTCTTTTAAGAAAAAAGTTCCAAAGTTGTGTCTTAGCAGTACATCTGAGTCAACAAGAAAATACTTATAAGTGTAAACGACCACATGACGGCGCGACTGTCTTGTATTCTTCGAACTCAAACTTATCTCGATTTGCAGAGATATCTTGATGCCAACTAAATATAAAATATATCCTCAGGACTTGTGTAATTTTTTTAAATAACAAACTTTAGTGTAAGTATTAAAACGTAGAATAGAGGTGGACAGGTAAAGAAAAGAAATAGAAAGAATACGAATAAAATCAAAGAAAAAAATCTATACCATCACGGCATGCTTCAACAAGCGTTGAAAAATATATATGCAACTAGTTGTCACCCGCGACTCCGTCCGCGCAGAATTAAAAAAAAAACTTAATTAGCAGCCTATGATCTACAGCTGTGCTAAATTTAAACAAGATCCATGAAGCCGTTCCGGAGATACCTTCAAACATCGATCCATCTAACCATTCGCATTTATAATATTAGTAAGATTTTCACCTTTTTGCGAAATATTTTATAGGTTATCCAGAATTGTATTACTACTTTAGGTAATGGTGAAAATTTTAATCTAATGAAATTTTTAAGATATAAGATAGATAAATTTATTCAAAATATCTCTAATTAAATCGTCTATGAAACTCTATTTCACAAATTGATTACATACTGTATCCGCAGCCTACGCACTAAAACCAAAAAAGGTCATTTTGAAATACCAATTTCCTTTTACGTAGACCATTGAAATTTAATATTTGTTAATAGTTTACAATGTCTTCGTATACTTGAACTATCAATAGCGTGGGTGGTATAGTGGGTGATGAAATTAACGGTCATAAAAGGTAATAATTAACATTTTTTTTAATTTAAGATTTTTTTATTTTCGTGAAACTTAAAGATTATTATTACGCATCGTGTTAGGCATATTTTGTTTAAATTAATAAGTGAAAAAAAAACCTGATAAAACTGTCATTATAACATAACATAATCGACATTAATTA